GATTCAAGAATTGACTTACATCATGGTGTATGCGTTACAATCTAAATTAGCCAGCATGGGCACCGACTTCAAACAGTTGTATACTGTCGTACTGTTGTATGTCAGAAACTTTAAACGTCTAAAGCTATATATAAGGAATTCGCAAGCTAACATAAAAGTTTTATAATGAAATTTCACACAATTAAAAAATAGTTGGTGGTGATTTATGCCACCTCACAAGNCAAGCCTGCAAATTGTTGCCAGCAACTGGAACGCTGGCTGCCCACTGGCACTTGTTCAACTACTTAAAAATTCACTTTGTAAACAAACCTTCGCACACATCAAACCACATCAAGCGGCTCATCTGGATGAAATGAAAAGGCTGTTAGATGTAATGCAGCAACGTGATCCCGATGTTCAACATCAGTTCAAAGAAAAGTCAAATGGGTTAGAAATGGCGCAGCTTATCATACGCCAGTTGTCGGATAAGGCCAATGTAAACCAAGGCGGCAATCGTATAGAGACCTTGACGTAGACGCAATTTATGTACGAGGAACAGATTAGAGACTTACAAGTAAGTTAGAAGTAGAAGTGCATTTGAAGATGTTTACATTATTCTTACAGTCTATGGTGCAGGAATTTATGATGGTCACAAAATATATTGGCAAAAACATAGCAAGTGCATATGCCAAGTTGGAAAAATTGACAATGCGTGAGTATAAAATGAAAAGGTGTTCTTAATTATAAATATTACTTTACCTTTTCTTTTGCAGTGGCCAAAAAGAAGAGTCTTTTTGATGATCGACCGCAAGAGATTCAAGAATTGACTTACATCATGGTGTATGCGTTACAATCTAAATTAGCCAGCATGGGCACCGACTTCAAACAGTTGTATACTGTCGTACTGTTGTATTTCAGAAACTTTAAACGGCTAAAGCTATATAACTATAAGGAATTCGCAAGCTAACATAAAAGTTTTATTATGAAATTTCACACAATTAAAAAATTGTTGGTGGTGATTTATGCAACCTCACAAACGCGGTTTTTCATTATCATGATACGCGGTTTTGCATTTTGTTGATACGCGGTTTTGTACTTTAAACGACGACTTGCAAAGGGCGCTATGTAAAATTTGTTCGATTTTTAGTTTTTGATGGATTACGTACCAGTATTTAAAGTAGTTTCATGTCCAGTAACAACAGAGTGGAAAATCTTTT